ACGTTGTTGGTTCTGCAAACACCAGAGCAAACGTTATACCGCTGCAAAACGACTTTATCTTCCCTAAACCACATCCTGTAATTCCACTTCCTACTTCTGCCACATGCATCATAAAATACAACATCCTAGATTGTTTCCAATACTAAAATTCTCTCAGTTATTTCCAAATCGCTGCTTACGCTCCTTTTGTTGGCGACTTCCTGCTTCCTGGAAACGTCCGCACACGTGTTATTGTTCTGAGTAAATGTACCTCTGAGGGTCATCCTCCTGAATGCCACAGAGGTCAGCGTGAAAACTAGCCATGAGGAATGTGGCCTCATAACACAAATATTTTAAGTACTTTCTAGATTTATACAAGGCGGAAATGGTAGATAAAATGTGGGATAATGGGATGCAAGTACTTTATAATAGACAATAGGTTTGGAGTCTCCACCTGGGGCAGAGGTCAAAGGTCAGACAACTGTAGACAGGACGTGGTTCTGCTGTTATCTTTATCGCACACACAAGTTCTTTCATGGTCCCATGGCTAGTCAACAACACAATGATACTCGGCTTTCTTAATACTTTATCAGTGCTAGTCTCGGTTCAGTCTGTAGTCCTTGCTCCTAGTGTAAATGGTGCAAGAGGTAGAGCTTTTGTTTGTTTGTAATTTTGTGTTGTATTCACATACCTTCTAATTGCTGTACTCAAATATGATTTTTCCTCCCCTCCAACCTCTTGCCCCTAGTTGGTACTAGGGTTGGGCAATATGGCTGAAAAATCACAATATAAGTGATTCATATCCGTCAATATCAATAATTATTGATTGTTTATTTTTTTATTTTTTTTATCTAAATAAATACATTTGTTGTGTCGGCTAACACACGTTAGCAGCCCTTGTTTACAGTCACGGGGTAATGAGAACTCAGACTGGAGGCATATGTTCTCAAGCACTGTGTCCCCCATTGTTAGTCCTGGTTTAATCCCGGTTTAGTCCTGGTATAGCTCCTGTTTTGGCTGTTTTCGAGTGTCTTGTGTCCCCGTGACAGATCCGTAGCCACACGTGCTTCCCTAGAAAAAAGTTAATCTCTTGCTTTTTGCAGTGAGTCGCTTTGCCCACTGCCTTTAGCACACATGCTATTCCTTGCACGTACGTGCGTAACCATTGACACGGCGTTGAAACACAATCTATTGATCCATGGACGCTACGCATAGTGCAGCATAGACTGTTGCAGGTTTTTTTTTTTTTTGCATTTTCCAGAATTTTTGCGGTTCATGCTTGGCTGTGATAGGTCGAGAAGCCTCTGCCACTATCTCCCAGAATGCTGCACGCTTTTGACTCTTCTTTACTTCCTGTGTTTTCTTCCTGTTTTTTTTTAACGAAGTGAAGTTAAACTATCAAACATTCTATCGACCCCATTTTCTATTGATATCGAACACGTGTCTATCGCAATATATATTGTTATCGTTTTATTGCCCAGCCCTAGTTGGTACCTATTTTTTTGTTTTATAAATTATACGTATTGTTTGTCCCCACAGAAAGAGTATTCTATTTGAATTAAGCTATTTCATACCTAGTCCCTGGGCAAATACCTAGAGTCTAGTGGTCAAATGACTGGTAATATTGTAGTTCAGAAAGTACAGAAAGACGGACATTAAATAAATGTCTTGCACACAAAATAAAAATCCAGTGTCCTGTGCCGGCAGCACAAACAACGCGGGCGCGTACCGCGTATTTTTACAATGTATGGACCGCGGCGGATCTGCGCTCACAGGCCAGAATAAGTCAGAGCCGAAAGCTCTCTGTAATTACGTTCTGTCCGCCAGTGAAGTGCCAACACAGAGGTCTGAAGCTGCTTTTGATCCAGAACAGGGCTCGGACCAAACTCACCCTGCACACCGTGAACCGCAAATGCGGACTGTCTTGCGGGTCTGTGTCTCATGAGCAATACACCAGCAGCTACGATGTGTGCGTGGAGCTACACACACACCTAACGCACGCACACACATGAACACACACGCACACACACACACACACACACACACACACACACACTAGGGGTGGTCGATTTATATCGTAGACAATAATATTGCAAAAGTGCATTTGATGATATACTTATTGCAAAATCGTTTTTAAAAAATAATTATTTTACATATCACCAATACATATTTCAATTGTAGCAGGCAAGATGCCCATTTGTCAAATGCGTGCCTAAAAACAGCTTTATTTGACACCTTTTTGGATGTTCTTCCCGTGTTACTTGAATGTTATTTCTAATGTTAATATATGTTTGTGCATGTTTTGCAAGTATGTGTGAAGCAATTTACAAATAAAAAGCTGCTATTTTGATCTAATATTATTTCTCTAATTTTCTCTAATAGATGACCTGGCAAGCAAAACATTGCAGATCAATTTGTGTAAAAGGGATTGGGCCTCATTCACGAACCGTTCTTAAGAACAAATTTGTGCGTAAATTCTACTTACGAGGATTTTACAAAGATTGTGGCATTCATGAAATTTTCTCTCCAGAATTTCTCTTGGGTAAGAACAAATCCTACGAGTGCTCAGGAGCACTCAGTGCCGACATGTTCACACGCTGGTGTTGTCTTCTTTTGTGAAGTTCAATAAAACATAACATTACAGTGATATGTCTGTCATATTGATGTATGTATTTGTTTATATCATTGTTTATGGTAATTTAGCTTATTCTTTAATTAATTTTAGATTAAATATGCCAACGCTTAATAAAATACATTGGAAATCATGCTGTGACTCCTTCCTATTTATAGGGGGCATTTATTTATCCATGGGCCACAGAACAATGGCATATACAGTATACTGCTGCTGCAGGAGGTAGCGGGGTCCGCGCTGAGTCTCTCCCATGGATCTATTACGGATCCGCGCTGGTCTCTCCTGGATCCATACGGGTCCGCGCTGGTCTCTCCTGGATCCATACGGGTCCGCGCTGGTCTCTCCTGGATCCATACGGGTCCGCGCTGGTCTCTCCTGGATCCATATGGGTCCGTGCTGGTCTCTCCCATGGATCTATTACAGGACCGCGCTGGTCTCTCCAGTCTATGCGGTCTCTCTTCGGTCCGCTCTGGTCTCTGCGCGCTGGTCTCTCCAGTCTATGGTCTCCCCTCGGGTCTGCATTGATCTCAGCGCTAGTACACGCTGGATCTCCTCCCAGGGTCCAAAATATTTTGAGATTAATCTCATAATATTTTTAGATTAATCCCAACATTTTGCTAGTTCAACTTTATCCTCATAGTATTTCGACTTTAAAGTAAAAATGTTATGACTTTATTCTCAGTCTGGCAAAAGAAGAAAAAAGGGTGACTCTTTTGCGCGATGCTCGATGCAACTCTTTGCTTTAGGCATGTTGCTGTTTCCTCTGGCGTCTGCACACGGCCCTGCAGTCCCCTTTATGTTCATTAATGGGCGGTTACCTATGCTAAGTACCTATGCTAATGAATCACCTGGCACGCGCGCTCTACTTACGAGGAGTTGGCATTCATCAATTTCTAAGGGTCTTCTTAGAAATCTACTTAAGAACGACTTGAGAAGGAATTAAAGAAGATTCTTGTGAATGAGGCCCATTGATTTTAAAGATATTGTGACAATATTGTTATCGGAAGTTGGGAAAAAAATATAGAGATATTTATTTTGGCCCATATCGCCCACCCCTAACACACACACACACACACACAGAGACTTGAGTCCCTCTTTATGCCCAAAGTGCTTCCATCACATTGCAGTGGTTTTGTTGTCTTATCTTATGTCTTGAGTTATCTTTTCACTGATGTTAAGAAGTAACTTTGTTGGTCGGACCAGCGCCCGCTTCCATTCAGCACAAAGTTGCCTTTGGTTTTGTGACACTATGGCTATTATTATCTTTAGATTATGCTTGGCCTATGTGTTTTGTTTTATAATGCCATTTCAGAAAATAGAACAATGTGTACCATTATTTAATATCCACTCTAATGAGTCTATATTATAAATATGAATAGGCTTAACCCTACAAATAATTTGTGTTTTTTCTGCAAATATGTTTCCAAAACTACATTAATTAACCATCTTTAAAAGACTGCATTTGAATCAGATGCATCATGATCAGGTAAATATTGAACCGATTCATCTTTGGTTGAAGCTGAAATAATCTGTTACATCGTTTTAAATTCATATAATGCATTGTCGTCTTCCCAAGAAGTGGTTTTCACGATGGAGGTTTGGAGAAGGCTACAATGTCGACCTTTTCTCTACAAAACACTACCATATCAGGAACATCTCAGGAACCTCGCCAGGCAGCGCCAAATTCCTGGGTGTGTGCGCGGCCTCAGAATATACTTCTTTGGAGTAATGGAGAGAAGTTGTGATTAGCAGTATCTGTGAGAGATGGGGAGAGAACAGGCCATATAAGAACGCTCTGTAAATGTACACATACCAGTGGAGTGAGTCATGCTCCCCCTCTCTGCAGCTCCAGCTCTCAGGTCGGAGCTGAGAATCTTCTGTAGAGCGAGGCGTGTGCAAGTGTGCGAGGTGTGTGTGTGTGCAAGGTGTGTTAGTGTGTGGGTGTGGTGAGGTGTGCGATTGTGGGGAGGTGCGCTAATGTGGTCAGGTGCGAGTGTGCGAAGTGTGAGAGTTTGGCAAGTTGTGCAAGTGTTTTTGAGGAGGCCAGTCCCTGTGCTCCCCAGAGTCTGACCAGGAGGCCAGTCCCTGTGCTCCTCAGAGTCTGCATTGGTTCATATGGCACTACCAAATATATACATATTTATTTGTGATTCATTTGTGATATATGGCGCAAATCGAGCTACTAAGAAGGTAGTTATTTGTCATTAAGCCAACTCCAGCTCCATCATCTGGACTTTAAACAGGCCCTCTTACTAACAAACTTGGACCCTCTAGTGTTGTTGTAGTCCTTGTCCAATCTTTTTTTTTTTTTTTTTTTACTTTTTCATCATTAAAATTGAGTTGTGTCAGCGGTTCTCTGTTGGCTCAGGCTTCACGCCTCTTTAACAGGTGTTGTTCCAGGTGTGAGCTCGAAGGCCAACATGATACGGTTTGTTTCACAGCCGCAACAGCGGCATCTGAAGTGTGTGTGTGTGTTGTTGTTTCCTGTTGTGTGTGTGTTGTTGTTTGGCTGAGTAGATAGCACTACTCAGCCAAACATCCCCGTCGGGATTCAAACCCAGGACCTTCCGGGCTCTTGTTGCATGCACACCAAACATACCGGTGTTTCATTAACCTCCGTGAACAAATAAGAATTAGTCCACTTTTCTTGAAAAACCCAATACTCGATTTCCACTTTTCGACATTTTTGCCACTTTTCAAACATTTTGCTGAGGGTGTCACTGCCAGTCAGAGAATGAGCCGTGGGCTGTATCAAATCTTTTGGCCCGCATAATTGACACTCCTGCTCTATGGGACTAAGAATGGTCTAGCTAACGTTGGGACCTAATGTAAAAAAAAAATAATGGTTGGGGAAACCGAAGCACACGAAGCATGCAAACTCCACACAGAATCAAACCCAGGACCTTATTTGTGCTGAAGCACAAGTGCTAAACAGTTAGCGCTTGACTCAAACAGAACCGAAATTAAAACAAGAAATGCACAAATGTCTCCATTTAAAATCGCACTCAACACATCTTCCCCATGTTCTCATATGTGTCTGTGTAACTTTCCTCCATGTGCTCCGGTCTGCGAAAACCACCATATAGATAAAGATGAACATGCCTAATAGTTTAATGGTATAATTGGGCTTTCTGAGTAATTGCTAAGTTTCGTATAGCATCCCACAGAAACCACATTCAGCTGAGTGTGTTATTAATGTGTCCTGCATTTGTAAGTGCTCCCAGTCTCTTGTGCATCATGTTGTCATGTTTATTTAAGTGCGTCTCTTGTGCATCATGTTGTCATGTTTATTTAAGAGCGTCTCTTGTGTGATGTCACAGGTGGAGGAGGGCAGTAAAGCATCCGCCGTGGGTCTCCAGGTGGCAGACGAACTCGTCAACATCAATGAGATTCCCCTGAGTGGATTCAGACAGGAGGCGATCTGCCTCGTCAAAGGCTCCCACAGGACACTTAGCCTGGTGGTTAAGAGGTAGGTAACCAGGGCCCTGTCACCATGCCAACCCTACCCTTCTGTTACCACACCAACAGACCCCTCTTGTCACGGGTCCTGTCTAAAGCGTTTGTCTCAGTGCCGCTGTGCTCCAGCGTCAGCTGGATGGTCCTGTTCTGCTGCTACACGTCACTCTCTAACTGTGGAGTGAAAGGAGGTGATGTCACATTTGTGGGAGGTATGGAAGGAGCGAGGGAGGGTGTTGTAGGAGGGGCCACACATATGACACAGGTCAGACTCGGGCACAGATTGTGTCACACTTCCCGAGATAAAGCTGCACTTGTCTTTGTTCCTGCAGTCGTCACAGTAATGATTACAGTGTTTTATCAGCGGCAGCTGCGGGTTTCTCTGTGTTGTAGAATATGTGGAACCATGTGTCCATGCGGTGGAACCATGTGTCCATGCGGTGGAACCATGTGTCCATGCAGCGCTGGGAGACTCTGTTGTTGCAGAGACACTGCGCTCATTGTCTCTCTGCACGTTTCTTTGTATCATAACGTAATCCTCAAACAAATTGTTCCATACAAGGAAGTCACCATTTATCTTTTTACAAGGACAAGCTTGTTATTCACACTGTATATTCTTCCTCAGAGGCCTGGGAAAAGTGTTTGATTATCATAAAACACTTAGATAAACTTTCTTTAATGCTTCAGGAAAAGTATCTGGGCATTGTCATGTTTCAGCACCTAGCCCCTTACAAGGCAGTGTCTTTGTTCACATTGTTTTTGTAGACTTTAAACCTCTGGGACATTGCCGTGTTCCTGATGAACTTCAGGAATGTTCTTTGTTGCTTTTGTTTGGGATCCACATCATTTCTAGGCCACAATTAGAAATGTCTGATCGAGGAGACTGTTGTGACATCTCTCTGCAACTCTGTTAAAGACCACATGACCTACTTCTACAGACAGTCATTAGTCAGCTGCCAATTATGCAATTCCTCCCACTTAGAAAGATGAAGTCTGTAACTTTCATTTCATAGGTGCAACTCGACTATGAAGCGATTTGAGAAAGATTTTTCTTGAAAAAATGATGTTGGAAAATAAGTACTTCATCAACAATAAAAGTCCATCTCATACTTTGTTATATTCCATTCGTAGGCAATGACAGGCCAAATATTTTCTATAAAGTTGACACACACTGTTGTTGGTTTTTTGGCCCATTCCTCCTGCAGATCTCTCCTAGAGCAGTGATGTTTTGGGGTTGTTTCTGGGAAACAGCTCCCGCCAAAGATTGTCTTAGGGATGAGATCTGGAGACTGACTCGGCTGTTGCTCAGTTATCGCTCAAAATTTCACCATACATGGCCCCATTCAGTCTTTCCTCCACACTTGTCAATCGTCCTGGTCCCTTTGCAGAGAAACAGCCCTAAACTGTGTGTGTGT